AAAAATACTCCTTTTTTGGGTGTTGAGCTGCTTTTTTCTATCGAAAATTTAAATGTACTCCTTTCTTCGTTTCAGAATCTGGCAACCCTATCAGTGTCCAAATGACACACCCTTTACGGGAAATTATGCGCCTAATCATCCTCTGTTGCAATGAACTGTATCCATGACACTGGGAATGATCAGATGTTTTCAGTTGCTTTTTGGCCTGAGCTTTGTATGGATGAAGATGTATATCCAAATACAAAATATACCCTTATGACCCATAAGATAGTGTTATGTTCCTAAAACAATTCGCAATCGACAAATTTGTTTCTTCGGCCCAACTTAAGTTTGAAATCCTAACCAAGCGTTTCGGTTGTTGCTACATTTAGCGTTCACGCAGATAACAATTATAGCTGAATGGAGCGCTGGTTGCATGAAAAGCTTGCTGTCTTCGTACATGTACAGTCATATCTATGTACAGTTCTAGACATAAAATAAGTATGGTAATCTTTTGTTGTATTTGGCGACTTTCTGGTGATTTTAGTAAAAAGAAAAAATTGTGTGGCAGCACTGATTGTGATTTTTGAATAGAAAATCGTTTGTATTTATTGAGCGATATGTACGTATGTGGAAGGTCCAATCACCTTTTGTTTCTTTGCTAGAGCTTCTTAGACATTGCAAAAACGCCATTTTTTTATACTTTGAACACGTTTTTATCAAAATCTGGAGCTGATGGAAAGTTTATACTTTCGGATTCGGAATCATCTTCATAGTCTGGTGTAGACTTGTATCAGATTCTATAAAATTGTAGTGTTATGAGCACAATGACGTATAATGGGCAGATAACTTATCAGATTTATATGTTGCTAAAAACTAATTGAATTATAGGCAAATATATAGTCAAAATCTTAAGAGATAAAGATTTGAAAAGATATTTTACAAATGTTAGTTTAGCTTTATTTCAATAGAATAATTATTAAAATTTAGCAGTATAATGCTCAATTCGTAATTGTTCATGAAAATACTGTCTTAAATATGTTATTATTTATTGCTACAATGAACTGAGAATAGTTATCCAGTCAATAAAAAAATTTTTAAACAAAAAGAAAAGCATTGGCCACGTTACACTTATTACTTAGGTAATTGTGCAACGAAGTCAGCTATGATTTCTTTTTTTTCCATATGGAATCAGTATGATATCGACAATACTAAGAAAACATGTTATATATCCTTTTGGAAAGGGTACTTAATTATCCAAAAAACAACTTTTTTAGTTGTTCACTGACTACGTTACACTTAACATTTGCGGTACATTTCATTACGACTTAATAGGAGTTCTAAACAACTTTGTCGCTAACGTGGAACGTATCCTGTTAAACTAATTTATTTTCTATCGTTCAGAACTTAATCGGCCAAAATAAATCAAGGAAAGCTTATATTTTTGTACTTTTCCCTGTTGAAGTACCGAAAACTGTTTTTAGGTTCGTGAAATACCTTTCGACAAAAGGAGCAAAATATTAAACACAAAATGGTTGGACATGATAAGAATTAGTGTTAGAAGCAGCTGACAGATATAGTGAATACCAATAATCACTAACATGTTCATTATTTGAAAGAAAAAATCGGGAAAAAGTGGCCATATGTAATACTTTGGAGACTGATTATATTGAAAAAACACGTTAATTACAAGATTGAATGAAGATGTTTTTAATCTTATGTTTTTCTTATCTTTTCTGATTTTTTTTTTCAATTATTTCTAACCTTGTTGGGAACCGATGCATTATATAATACATTCTTTTCGGCTAACTCACCTTTCACATTCAAAGCATTTAAACTGTCATTCGCACCTGTCGCGCTCACCAAAATTGGTTGTTGAGCCATTATATTTGCTGTTGCAGTAGTATTGAAAACATTTGCAACGTTCGAAGACATACCGCAGAAATCTGGATCATCTGCATCGAAGAGAACATTATCTTCCCACTCTGTGACCATAGCACCATTAGAGATGGGTCGGTTTTTCATCTAAAAGATACAAAAGTCGAAAATTAACAAGGAAATTATATTAGATGTAAAAGTCAAGAATATTAACTTTGCATATGGAGTATGTACATATTGTCGTTTAAAGTACAAAACCGCGAATCATTCTACGAAACCGCGTAACTGACATTGGCTGCCAAAAATTAGATTTGCTCACACAAGCTCTTGGCTCAATCCTTATCTATTCGTCCTGAAATATATTACCCCGAAATGCGATTGCTATATAAAAACGAGACCATTTGAGAAGGGGGAGTGGGCGTGGCACCTCCAACCGACGTTTTTGGAGAGGGATCGAACCGCCATTGACCACCTAGGCCCCCTATGATTCCCTACGGGCCCCTTAGAAAAATGGCCAAAAATCCCAATTTTTACTTGCGTCCACAGTATTTTTGCGTATACATAATTCCTTACTGTGTAGGCGGCCTTCGGCCGCGCTTAGGGATTATAACCCTTACTACGTAGAATTCTTCTTTTTGTGTGACCTAACTGGGGCTACCGCCCCAGTGATGTAACCTTGGGAAAGGATGAGGTAACTAGAATTCCCTCTCTGTGTGGTAAACCTGGGGCTGCCGCCCCAGTGATGTCTATTTTGGTTACTGGGTGTATTATAAAAATATCTTGTATATAAAAATGTATTGTGCAAATGAATATTTAACATTTTTCAAGCGAATAAACGCTAATGAAAATTGTGATTTTTGGCAATTTTTCTAAGGGGCCCCTAGAGAACCATTGGGGACCTAGGTGGTCGGGGGTTGCATTTTTGTCAATGGCGGTTCATTCCCTCTCCAAACAGGTGGGTTAGAGGTGCCACGCCCACTTACCTTTCGCCCACCGCTTCTTTAGCGAACGGCCATAAAGGAAAGCAACCCAAAAAATGTATGCAACCTCGCATACGCAGTTTTATCTTGATGCGCTGTTTTGCATTTTGTTGATACGCGGTTTTGCACTTAAAGCGACGGTGTTTTTGTATGCAAGATTTTGCATTTTGCACAATCTGGAGAACGGCAGAGTAAGCATAAGTCAATGTCTATCTTTTACAACTTGTCCAAGATAATAAACTGCATAGGCGGTCTTCCGCGTGCCTCTAGTAATGTGTGTGAAATGGGTTGCAGGCAAGAAACTTTAGTTGCCGTTTATGCAAATTTGAAACCATGTAAGAACTGGTATTTAGAAGTTTCACATGAATGAAATTTATAACTTTAAGTTAAATCTTCGTCAAGTCTTCAATAATATTGATCAATAAGTAAAATTTGTTGGATGTGGCAACCACAAATTCACATGCCATAGTCAAAAGACATTTGTGTTTTCAATATACAGTTGAGGACATTGAAATCTAGCCTATCATAAAAACATGTATTTTCGTATTTTTAGGGATTTTTATATTTTTGTTAGTTTGGGAGGAAAATTAGTAATACATATTTATACTAGGTTCACATATAAGTAGATTATCTTCATTTTCGAGCTTAACTTCCTAATATGTAATTAGAAAAAGAGATTAGCCATATAAAATTCCTCCCTTGTTAATCTGTAATTATAAAATAATCTCAGATTTAACCGATAACTTTTCGGTGTCCATCCTAGTTTTATCGATTGTTTTTGCGAAGAAGAGGAGAAATGGCAAATGTAAAAGTAAACAAAAATGGACGCTGGCAAGGAAAAGAGGGTTCTAAAGGTATTTTTTTTAATAAAATGTTAAGTTAAAATATATCTATATTGCTCAATATAGCAGAAAAACGTGATCACGGTGGCACAGAGAAAAAAAAAATAACTTTTCCTTGAGATGTGAGAATAACAAGCACAACAAATTTGACGGCTAATAATTTGAGATTTGCCTGTGTGAACGGTGCGATTAAAAAACGAGCTTTGATTGAGGTAATATTGATATGTGAACATAGTTTTACATAACTTTGGTTGTAATAAATTAAGAAAATATTATTTTAAAAACTAACTAACATAACTTTGGTTGTAATAAATTAAGAAAATATTATTTTAAAAACTAAAAATTTAGAAGAAATGTTTTATAGTAATATCATATCAAAATTAGTAAATTTCGGTATTGGTTCTGCTTCGATAACATTGCACCGAACATCCTCTAGAACTCAGTTCGTATTCATGATATGCCAAAGGCCCTTGATTGGATTTTCGGTTCCCTCCTATGAATAAGAGAGTTCTACAAAAATGTTTCTTTCCACAAATGTTTTTTACCGTTTTGATAATTTTTCTTAAATTCGGGAAAATGATTCGGAATATGGTACCATTCTTTACACTTTCCAAACTATATATCATACATACATATTTACCACGAATAAGAAGACAATAATATTCAGAATTCATATAATGAAATTCCGCTTGGTACCTTCCTTTTATCTGTCTGTATATCAATGTCCGCAACTGTATTTATAAAATCATACATAAGCAAACGCCAAATATTTAAAAATATGAACGTCAAACATATCTCGTTGTGGTAATGGAGACGGTTGTGATTTAGCAACTGGATTTATTAAATCTTACCGCCCTATTCCCACACCACTGACAAAACTCAGCGGCTGACTATTGCCTTTACTACCGCAATTTTTAAGCGATTTTCAATCAATTTTTTGACCAAATGTATTTAAAATGAATTGCGTGGTGATTGGTGGCAAAAACACGTACAAGATAATAATTTGGTTAGCACAAACATGTGCTGCAAAATTGCTTACATTTTTATCTTTATGCTTCGTCTTCATATTCTTTGTTTACTTTTTATTCAATAACATTTCGCCGAAATTACAAACGTCAGCCAGAAAATTACTTTTTTCTTTTGCTTCAACTTGTCAGATCTTGTGTAGTTGGATCATGCATTTTTAAGATGTGGGTAATTGAGGGATTTTTTCCGATTTTCGCAGTTTTTTTAAAGAAAATGTCTGGCATCACTAATTCTAAACAAACGTCAAAAGAAGAAAAGAAGAGGAAAAAGTTATAAAAAATAAATGAAAATTTTCACATTCATAAGAGAAAAAATAAAAATTTTATTTAAAATATAAATTCATAAAGAAGTATTAAAGCAAAAAATTAGCAGTTAAGCCTTTTTAAAAGGTATTACAATGTTACAAGCACAAACAAGTTTTTGAATGTGTTCTAGGCAATATTGACTAATTTATTCTTAACGAAAACACACAAGGCTTATCTTCTGTTAATCTTCATAGGCAATATTGCAGAAATGGACGATAATTTATGGTGAGTTACCAATAGTAGTTATGCAAACATATCTAGTTATGGAAGGGAAGCCGTTGCATCTTCAATACCTAATTAGGTGCTTAGAAAGTACGAGTCGCTTTCGTGGTTTCTTGTTATTGTTGTTGGAACAAACACGTAAATTCTGTCCACGTTCCGCACTATATTCGAATGCTTTTATCACCTTGTCTTATCTCAAAAGCTGATTCACCAATCTATTGTCTATAAAGCTTTACCCTTTAGCATTTAATAATATTAGAGTAGTGCTGATTAAAATTATAAATGCTTATCTATTTTAGGCTTATAGAATTAGAGTCTGCGCTGTTGGACGACTGCAATGTGAATGACATATATGCGATTTGTCGAGGCAAGGCCATTCCCGAAGCATTGCGTCCAGATGTTTGGCAGGTGTGCTTGGATGTGCGCCACAAAAGCGACCAGATGTCTCTCTTTAATGAAATTTTTGATTTACCCTTTCAAAATACCTTACGCGAGGACTGCCAAGTGGTCGTTGACCGTATTGGCAACGATGATGAAGACAAAGTTTCAGTAATTTCTGATTTGGAGTCGATTCTCACATTTTATTGTAAGAATCGAAACCTGCAATATGAAAGTGACAATGGTTGGATTGACTTGCTATTGCCACTGTTAGCACTAAAATTAAACCGATGTGACACATACAACCTTTTTGAATCCATACGCGATATCTACATCCCGAAAGGTTGCAAACCCAAAGGAAATGTATTTCATGTGTTCCGCTTACTAATACTATATCATGATCCGGAATTGTGCACAATGCTAGACACGAAAAAAATTACACCAGATTTATACTCTATTCAATGGTTCCAGTGCTTATTCGCATCGAGCTGTAGTTTGTCGGTCATTCTTTCAATGTGGGACTTATACTTTCAACATGCAGATCCTTTTATGGTGTTCTTCTTGGCCCTGATTATTCTTGTCAATGGGCGTGATCAAATTTTGGCGATGAAGAACACAACAAAGGAAGAATTACTAAAATTTCTTTCTAATATGCCTTGTGCTTTAGAACCGGATGATGTAGTTGACTTTTGCTCACTTGCTCAGTATTACGCGCTCAAAACGCCGAGTTCTTTCAAGACGGACTTTCTAAAGGCGTTGTACGGTTCGCAAAGTGAGAAGAGCTCGCGCAATGAAACCTGCACCGTATCGCAGGTGAGTTGAAAATTACATTTGAAAAAATTTAAATTATTAATATCAGTCCAAATAAGACAACTCCATTAAAATTTTCCAGCGTTACAAATTACAATTATATATATATATATATATATTTTAACAGGCGCTGTGTCTTCCAGTATCTGTGTATGAATTAGTAGAGAACTCATCTATAGATCTAACCATACCCGATGCTGTTCGTTTCTTTTTGGTTGATTGTCGACCTGCAGACCAATACAACGCAGGACATCTATCGACGGCATTTCATCTTGATTGCAATTTGATGCTTCAAGAACCAATATCTTTCTCCACTGCAGTACAAGGTTTGTTAACTGCACAACGTCAGGCAATTGAAGCGAATTCTAACGCCGGTGGTGAACACCTTTGTTTTATGGGAAGTGGCCGCATGGAGGAGGATCAGTATACCCATATGGTAGTCGCTTCATTTTTACAAAAGAACACACAGTATGTGTCGTTATTAACTGGTGGTTATACGGCCATACACGATTACTTTGGCGACCATATGGCTGATTGTCTCGAAGACCACGATGTTAAAAAGTGTATTGTTTGCATGAAAAACAGCGTTGAATTAAGGAACCTAGGACAGGCAGGACAAACTCAACAGGTACTTGCTGAAGATACATCTAATTTCAATTAAATTGAACTTTATTAAATCTTATAGCCACGACGAGACTCTCAACGACCAACCTCCGACATATTTAGCAGGTTTTCCGCAGTAATGAAAATTAAATCAGCTGAAGTCAAAGACAAGCTCTTCGATATCATTACGAACCCTTCTAACGGTACTAGTACCGCCGTTGGCCATCACCACGGGGGTAGTTTAAGTGGCCAAACGGCCGTTCCAGATCGGCATGTTTCCGCTAATGAACGCAATGGTAAGCGATATCGGAATGTGGCACCTGTATTCAGTATTGATGACGATAATGATGACCATTACAAAGACAATGAATTAAAAAATTCAGCTGAGATGGCTGGTTCCAAGCTGCCCGGTGACGCAAAAGAAATTGTCAATTTAACTCTGTACTTAAAGTCGACTGACATCATAAACGCTTTCCGCTGCCAAGAAGTGCACATGAATGGATATATGTATGATAGTCATTTGATTATAACAGCAACACACTTGATTGTTTTACGTGAGCTTGGGCATGGGCAAGCACAGATAATAGTACGACGACCTTTATCGAGCATAGTGAAGATAACTGCAAAGAAACGGCATCGAGATTTGATCACATTCAAGTACGGATTTCCAAATGGAGATGGTCTGCTTATAACCGACATGGATCGATTTCTTATTCCGAACGCTAGTGAAGCGACTGCACTTGTATCGAAACACATTGTCCAAACCTTAGATGGGTCTAAATTAACGTAATGCAATTTTGATGTATTTGATGATCATTTATTTCATTGGTCGACGTGAAATGTATGGATATGCAAAAGTTGTCGCTTCCCTCAGTGCTGATGTTTTAATTGCATGCGATAATCTCAAAATAACATGTTTCCGAAATTAAATACAAATAACACATGTCATGAGCGCCACATTTACACCCTTGTTTTAGAAATGACAAAGGGCTTTTTAATGCAATTTTTATGTGTCTTCTTTATGTAATGTTTCTATTTATTGCTTAAAAAGCGCAAAACAAAATTTTATTTTTTCGTAGCAACTTCGTACATGCCACACATTTTGTATAATGAGTGCAAGCCTGGAATGGTCTTTTATATGCGCTATCCGCTATTATTGTTATCTTTTATTTTATTTTAGGGATTTTGCGAAGTGTACATATATTTAAATCGAGATAAATCGTGGCAAAATATTGAACATTACCTTTTTATAAAAAAAACAATACACGACACATCCAAAGTAAACCATATTCCAGTGACATAAGTTATACATGTATGAATGCTAGCAATAAGCTTGACTAACAATAGTAGAACAGATGTTACCAAATAAAAAAACAAAATATGTCATACTTTTATTGCATTTTTCTTATTCGCTTCGTGTAAAATACCAAAAAATATTATAATGGGTGACTAACGCGTTACGTTGTGAGAATTTTTATTTTTGTTTTTGCGGATGGTATTGTGCATTTTCTTCCATTTAAAAAAACTGCGAGCATTCGTTACAGGAAAGAGCCTCAAAACACCAAAAAAATTGAAATTTTGATAATTTTTTGAAACTTGTTGAATTTTCGCGAATTTTAAACTTTGGTTTATGTGGTTTGTGAACTATATTTTGATAAAAGTAATTAAGATTAAAAAAAACTGGATAAACTTAAAAATATAAACGTCTGAGTACTGTTTCTAACACGGTTCGGAAATTCTCATTTATGATTATTAATTTATGAGATTTATCGCGATCGATAATATTCCAAATATATTTTTGCATTCTTTTATCGCGAGTGAAAAATGCAAACAAATTTATCATCCTCACATTCGGAATGCGATCGACAAAAAAAGTTCCGCTGCTTTTCATCCGCGATCGAAAAAAGCAAAGAAATTTCCTCTCACTCGAATATGAGAAGCAGTGTTGCCAGAACTTTTTTGGCCGACCGGCTATATTGGCAAAAAAAAAACGGCTAAAATGTTTAAACTAAAATTCACATGTTTTTTATAAAGAAATCGCAAGTAGAAAGACTAGTGCAATCATAAATGTTATTTTTAGTTAATAACTTTTTACACCACTCGTTAAATAACTCACAAAAACAAAGACTGGTAAATTCCAGGGACCGCAAATAACGATTATCCTTTGAAATTTCAACTCAAAAAATCACGCGGAAAGAGAAATGCTACGTGCGTAACAGAGCTGTGTAATGATTGAATCAATTGAGTGTGCATTCTCATTTTTTTCGTTTCAAAATTGTGATTGTTTGATTTAAAAAATTTAACAACCACTCTTGAGATTGGTTACAAATTGTAAACACAAAATATGTAGTGTGTTATGGAATGGTTGACACCCATTCACATAGAGAATGTGAATGCAAAAAAAAAAACTCAATCATGTAAGTTAATACGGGGGCTAACACACATACCTGTGTGAATGTGCTGACGCCGCACTTCCCCAAACACGCGCATAACCAGTGCGGGTAATTGAACTCTCATGCAAAAATAATCGAACATACGTTAGCATAATTGAATCTATGGGAAGCGCAGCGTCAGCAGTTAATTCAGCCGGTTAGACAGTAAGTCATAGTATTAAGAAATATGTTGCATTCATTCCATTTGGGACAGCAGAAGCAGATGGTAAATATACTTGTACAAAACTAATTATTGTCTTTTATTTTAGGAAGGACAACTCGGGGCCGCCGTGCGGCCCCCAACTTTAACTTTTTCGGGCTCACGGATGTGAGCTCGATGACTGGCGCCCGAGCAGGGACCCACTGAAAGTGTGGGTCTCTGAGGAAGGGCCTCCTTAATTGTGGGGCCTAAGGAAAAGGATCCTCTTAACTGCTGGAGTCCTTTTTTTTTGGAAGTGATCGTGACAAGTGATGCACAGTGTTGTGATAAGTGGAAGTGTTGAATGTGAAGGTGCTTATAAATTTATGGCTTGTACATCCACATAACAAAATATTTTGAAACCGTTGACTACCTTTGGGTATCCACCGGTTTATAACATTAGCTTAGCTCTGCGATCCCCAACTCCAGGGGCACTCCAGGGTATAAAAGCTCCCCTTCCTAGAAGGGGTCAAACCAAAGAAGTGAATAAAAATCAAATAGTGAACTGAATAATTTACGGATTGACCATCCATAACTTAATATCCTTGAAGCCGCGATTCACCACCTTCGGGGGGACCCTCCGGTTTATAATAGAAGCTTAACTCTGCGATTCCTTACGGGACCCTCCAGAGTATAAAAGCTCCTCTTCCCAGAAGAGGTAAATAAGGAAACAATAAAAAATGTGAGAGCAAAAAAATTAAAGGCTCTAATAGCAGAGTGATAAATTGTCGCTTAGACCTGTGACCCCGAATGAACCTCAGGCTAAAGCTGTAAATTACTACGTCATATCCTGCGGGTCATCAGCGACCGAACCAGGAATAACATGATATTAAGTGGACCTGTGACCCCGAAGACCCTCAGGTACACAAATAAATAGCATTTATTCAAAGTGAAAATTAAAACAAATTGACACCGTCCACGACTACGCCTTTACAATACTGAATATCCTGGCACGATCACATGGCTGGGTGAGTCCCTGACCCTATACTCCTAGGCAGATACTCACCTCATCGAAGGCCAATAGGTTAACATATCTTGTTTTCCTGCATTAAGCTGCCTGTGGTGTCTCCAGGGTACACATCAGAACACACTGGATACTGCTACTTCGATTTCTGCGGCATTTCCAGCGTACACATAAGAACACACTGGAAATTGCAATAGGTACAAGATTATGTTGTGAAGTAAGTTGTGCCTTAGTAGGTTGCCTTCAATCTGATTGTTGACGACTAAAAAGGATGACACAGCCCTTCCTGACCGAAACTCTTTCTTTAAAGACTAATGTGCCGTGAAACGCCAACCTGGTACATGTCGCCGTACACATAAGAACACGGTAAAAGTTTCACAAGTCTAATCGCGGCTCCTTTCTTATCTTTTTGCAGGAAACTCTGAAAACGTAAGAAAGGAACCGACCTCTAACTCAAATCGAGACTGATTGTTTTTTTTCCGAAACAAAAACTATTTGCACAAAAAGAAAATACAAACATAGCACGAGGACGAAGATCCGAGCAAAAAAAAACAAAAAAAAGCTAATAACCGTGCAAAACGAAAAAGAATATTCTTGCTGGCAGTACCCGGTACCTGATCGTATAAAACTTTGCAAAAAAAATAATAATAATAAAAAAAATTCAATTTTTAAAGAAAACGTGCATAAATATTTGAAACAAGAGATAATGGACGCATTAACGACAAAAGTAAATGAACTAACTGGGGGAATTAACGCTCTCCTCGAACAAATTAGAAAATTGGAGGGGCGTCTGACGGGAATTGAAAAAAATGGGTTAGGTTTAGAGGCTCGACTAGCACGGATAGAAGCGAGCAGCGCAATCCTGGACCAAAACCTTACCAGGATTGACGGTAGGCTAGGTAGTGTCGAAGGAGCAAATAGTGTGGGCAGTGTAGAAGGAGAAAATAGTGTGGCTCAACAAGGGAGCTCAGTCGCGAACACCCGAGCGCCAATGTCCGAACAGGACCTCAAGGAAATCGGCAGGCTCCCCGACTGTGTCAAAGAGCTGCAAACTTTTGAGGGAAATCCAGCTCAATATATTTCATGGATACATAATGTCGAAGGCATCCTTTCCGATTACGAAGTGATCAAGGGAAAACCTTTGTATAGGGCTATCCTTCAGCACGTTAGGCAAAAAATCCGGGGAGGGGCTGATGCGGCGTTAGTTGCATATAATGTTTTCGAGAGTGACTGGACTGAGATAAAAAAGGTCCTATCACTGCACTACGCAGACAAGAGGGACATACGGACGCTAGAACACCAGTTAAATCAGTTGGCTCAAAGAAATTCCAAACTAGATGAATTTTATGCGACAGTTAACCACCAACTGTCGTTGATCGTCAACAAGATTAAATGCGACGATTATACGCAGGAAACGGTTTCCGTCCTCATAGAAACATACCGGAATAGGGCCCTTGACGTGTTTATTAGGGGTCTGAATCCTGAATTATCACGCATGCTAATAGTCCAGAAACCAAAAACACTTCCAGAGGCGTACTCAGCTTGCCTTGACATCCAAAACCTGACTTTAAGAAATACAATAGTGCATACGAACGCAGTGAATAGGGTTGTTGTTCCTACGAATAACCTGTTGCAAAACCAGCAGAGGCCGGCCATACCTCCTCGAGCCCGCACCAGTTATAACTGGACAAACAGAAACGCTGGCCAAGGATACAACAGAGTGCCATACAATAGGTTCCAGTCAAACCAAGAGTCCAACACTTCGCCTCCAGGCAGACCCACGGCTCCGAAACCTGCGGAGAAAATGGAAATCGATGGCAGCATTCAGTCTAAGCAGGTAAACTACATGAATCGACCTGCAAGCAACAACGCGTTTAAAAGAGGACCAGCATCATCAATTGAAAGACTTCCAAAACAGCAACGACTCTACAACGTGGAAGCAAGTAGCAGTGAGCCAGGAGAAGAAGAGGCTCAGCAGGTAAATTTTATGATGGACGGGCCACCAGCCTATTTCATATAAAGGCCGCTGCTCTGTATTCCAGCATACCCTACCTCACTTGCGTCACCAAAGACAATATTACCCTAAAGTTTCTTGTCGACACAGGGGCGAACAAAAATTTTGTGAATCCCAAACTAGCCGCCCGCTCAACTCCGGTTGATCCACCCTTTTCAGTGCAAACTGTTGCAGGGCCTGTTCCAATAAACAAAAAAATTAGTGGACAATTTTTTCACAGTATGGGGAATGATACTGTACTAACGTTTTATGCCTTACCAGGACTGACTTCTTTCGATGGTATAATAGGCGACGATACCCTGAAACAATTGGGGGCTGTAATAGACAGGAAAAATCATACCTTGAAAATAGATCCGGGTATTGAAATTCCACTCAAGAACAAAACCGTTGGGGGTATTAATTTTTCTGAGGCATCGATCCCGGAGGCAGTGTTGCCCGCTTTGAAATCGCTTCTTAAAAAATACTCACATCTCTTTGAGCCTTTGAGCGCAAAAATTAACATTAAAACGTCTGTCAGGGCCGAAATAAAAACTACCACAGAAGATCCTATATACGCAAAAAGCTATCCCTACCCGGCCAATATGAGAGAAGAGGTGGACAGACAGATTTCCGAACTACTCGACGAAGGTATTATTCGTCCATCCAAAAGCCCTTACAACTCTCCAATCTGGGTGGTACCTAAAAAACCAAAGCCGTCAGGAGAAAAGCAATACAGAATGGTAGTGGACTTTAAACGCCTGAATGCAATCACGATACCCGATACCTATCCCATCCCTGAC